GTTCAATCCCAGTTGACAGCAGGGTTTTCATTGCATTCTGTCTGTGCTATGACTTGGGCAGGTGTTTCTCTGCTTATGTGTATTTGGTTCTTGCCGTATTCTAAGCCTGCTTCCTTCTGCATGGTTCCCCCAAAGTGCAATGGCTCTCAGGACAGAGTTCATAATAATACTTAGTGTAGCTTGAAAAACAGGATTTACTGGGAAAGCATATGAATTGGGGTCAGTGAGAGAAGGCACTCAGAGCCAGTCTCTTGTTATCTCATGGGAGGCATGAGGGCTGGGATTTTTTGGTGAACACAGTGAAGTACTATGGTGTTGTGGCTCCTACTTAGTGTAGCTTGAAAAACAGGATTTACTGGGAAAGCATATGAATTGGGGTCAGTGAGAGAAGGCACTCAGAGCCAGTCTCTTGTTATCCCACGGGAGGCATGAGGGCTGGGATTTTTTGGTGAACACAGTGAAGTACTATGGTGTTGTGGCTCCCATTCTTACAGGAAGGCTGGATTTGGGTGCCTACTGCTTAGAGGTTGTCTAGGAGAACCAGCAACCCAGCTCTTGGGACATGGGGCTCTTGCAATTTTAGCTCCTTGTGCCATGGGGGTTCAGTTTAGGTGCACCTCTCCCCATGTCCAGGCTCTGGTGATTCACTCACCAGGTGACACCAGGTGGGATTTCAGGATCTCTTTTGGAGAATCTTGCTTATTAGAGCACAGTTCTCTGTTTCCTATTGATTTTATGAATTGACCACTATTCTCCCAATCAATGATTTCCTGGCTCTAGATGGAATTGGTTTCTGTTGTGTACCATCATAATAATTGGCTGGTAGACTATATATAATTCAGAGAAATATAAAAATTGAAACAAACAATTGAATTGTATTTTTGGGAACTGTAATGCATTTCAAATAAAGTTAGATATTATTATTCCTACTTTATATATCACTTGCAGAGGCCCAGAGATATTCACCGACTAAATGTTGGGAATTTTCTACACAATGATTATGAAATGAAACAGTGTTCTAATGCAGATTGACATTCCTTTTTGGAGCACCTGCTACTCATGTTCATTTGCAGCATTAGTTATTAGGAGTGACTAATCTATGCTTAATATGACACATTTATTGGCCTGGGTGTTATGATGTATTTAAAATTCTTGACATCTTGTATGCACATTCAGATATTTTGTAACTGCAGATTGGAATGAGATATAGACAGTGTTAATCTTGACTGTCAGGACAGTCGGATATTGATCTTCTCATCTTGAATACTTGGCCAACTGTCTGTGACAACACAGGGGAGCTATAGTGAATTACCTCCAAGCTTAACTATTGTTCTCGTACTGGATTTCAATGCTATAGAAAACAGCAATTTGATATCTTTTTACTATTGTACCTAATGTCAGTAGAGTTGGAAAGAGTAATAGCATCCTCTGTGAGATAAATAGATCATCCTTCAGAAAAGTTGCAGTTGACTTTAATTAGTATTTACTCTCCTTTAAACCTTTGTGTATCCTGTAGGAGGTATCAGTAGGGAGCATCTTGCAACTTGTCTGAACAGAAACCTACGGATGTTGGCCCTGTCTTCCCTGCTGGTTTTCAGTGTGTCCTCAGAGTTGGACAGCAATGTTGTCTTGTTATCATCGAAGATAAATGTTAGCACAACTTAATTCTAGGAAAGAAGACTCAATGAAAATGTTATTGTGATTAATTCTAGTACTTACATATTTTTTTAAAAAACATGAATTAGCAATCAGGTAAAAATTAGTCTAATCTTGTCATTTATAACATGGAAATCTGAGCCCTGTTATGTCATTTTAATTATTAGCCAAAGATGTCATCCTTGCTACCATGCACAGAAAGAATGCATTGGTTTCATTACATTTTTAGAATACAAACTATTATATCTGTCGGGTTTGTGCTGGGCATTGCTAAAGCCATAATGAATAGAGTAGTCTCAGCCTTGGAGCAGCTCACAAAAGAAATAAATGACTTTAAAAATGTGCATAGTGTTATTATTGAAAGATACAAGGACTAGGTTCAGGTAAGAGTGGTGCCTGAACGGCGTGATACCACTGGCTAGGCGAAGCAGGGTGGCACTGGGGGCTGCAGGTGCAGAGGCAGAGAGGACAGCATGGCTGTAGCTCACACTCAAACCGAGCCTGCACACCGACATTCCAAAACTTATGAAAGCTTGCAAAGAAACCTAACACTAAGATAGCCCACAGATCAACAACTTTTTTTTTCCTTTTTGTCTTTTTTACTGACCGGTAATGGGATCGCAACCCTCGGTGTTGCGCCCACACCATGCTCAGCCAGTGAGCGGGAACTGTGGGATCCAAACCCTCAGTGGGAGCGCCACCGCGCTCCCAAGCGGCACACTCTCCAGTGCACCACCGGGCTGGCCCCACAGATCAACAATTTTGACATAAGGTATCTGAGATTAAGTTGATTCTATGGAGGGCTCAACCAAAATTTCATAATAACCATGTTATGAATGATTAGAGAAACAAATGAAAAAGTTATGGAAAAAAAGGGGCAGAAATTCAGCGAGAAAATTAGAATAGGTGGATGAATAGGTGGATGTAGGGAAAAACTAATGAGAAATACTAAAAGAAAAGTCACTGAAATAAAAATGTATACACAGGATAAACTTTAGGTTGGACATAGTTAAAGAGAGCAGTAGTAAATTGGAAGAAATGCTGTGCTATTCATACAGAAGGTAGTAAAGACAATAAAATTTAAGCTATATCTGTCTAAATTTACATTTATGTTAAAGTTTTAAAATATACATATACATATATGCGGTTGACAAATGAAAATTATGTAGGAAGACCCCAATGCCTGTCTAAGAGGAGGTCCAGAAGCAGGGAATAGGAGGAACAGTGGGTGTGGTGGTTTAAATTAGTTTCCAGAAAATATTTACTCCCCCTCTCCTCCTGCCCTTCATGGGGTAGTGCACTTCCCTACTCAGTGTTGGATTCAGGTGTATGTGCTGTGTGGTCCGTGGAATATGAGCAGAAGTGACAGCTCCAAACCTAGAACTAAAAAATCGTTGCATAGTACCAATGACTGCTCTGGGAACTTCCATCCAACCATGGGTGGAAAACATAAGCTAGGTAGTTGCTGTTCTCAGATCCATGAGAGGCATAGGAAGCCAGCCAAAATTAAAAACAATGCAGTGTACTTAGAAATCATCAATTAAAAGGTAGCTTTGAAAATCTTATTCTTTTGGAAAAAAGAAAGCATCCTTAAATAATTAAGACATTCAAGAAATGTCATAATGGCAGTTACAAAACATTTTGAAATAAATAGCAATAAGAATAATCCTGACGTAAGCAAAAGGAATTAGAATAAAAGCAGGAAGAAGATAATGAAATATAAGAGCAATGAAAGAGAGGGCCAAATAGGTCTTTGAAAAAAATTAATTTAATAGAGAAACGTGCAGCAAATCTAATCAAGGAAAAAAGAGAAGGGGCAGAAGACGTGCTTGTGACACAAGGTACTTAAAGGAGGTGTAACCGGGTGGAGCATATATTTATCTATCTTTTGTTTGTTTTTTAATTGCATATATTTATGATGTACAACATGACATTTTTATATACCAATTAATGGTGAGATGATTACTGCAATCAAGCAAATTAATATGTCTATCTGTACACCTAGTTACTTTTGCGTGTGTGCGTGCGTGTGTGTGTGTGTGTGTGTGTGTGTGTGTGTGTTAACAGCACCTCAAATTTCTTTTGGCAAATTTCCAGTGTACGTGTGTGTGTGTGTGTGTGTGTGTGTGTGTGTGTTAACAGCACCTCAAATTTCTTTTGGCAAATTTCCAGTGTACAGTAGTATGAAGTACAGCCCTCATGCTGTACCTTAGATCTCTAAACTTTTTCATCCTACCTAACTGCAACTCTGTACCCTTTGACCAACATATTCTTACTTCCTTCACCTCCCAGACTCTGGTATCACTGTTCTGCTCTGTTTCTCATGTATTTGACTTTTTTTAGATTCCACATACAAGGGGGATCATGCAGTACTTTTCTTTCTGTGTCTGAAATAGACATTAAAAAAAATCACAATGGCAGAGTGCAATAAATGTTTTGAACACAACTGGAGGCCTAGTTGACATGAATAATTTTATAGCAAGGTATACATTACCAAAACTGAGTTCAGAAAGAACGCACAAGCTGACAAAATGAAGAGCCACCAATAAACGGAAACAGCCATTGAAATGATCATCCCCAATGGAAAGGGGAGCTACAATCTGATCCATAACTCAGCTGAATCTATGCAAGGGCATAACAATCTACATAAGAAACATTACAAAAATTAGAATGAAACATAGAGTCCATATCAATAATTCATATTGATACAATGTCATAAATTTCCCCCCATAAATTTTCCTTCATCATCCATGTTTTCCATCTGTCTTGTGTCATTCTGGTTGGAATTTCTAATGCATTGTCCATCTGCCCATTAAGTTGAACTGTAGAAGTTCCTTTCCCAGGTAGACTTTAGTGTTTCACAGAGTTCGTCAGTGTGCTCCTGTGCCTTGCATCATTATGTCTCTGTGTTCAATCCTCCCAAGTAGCCTACAGACCGGACCATCCCTGGCAACCGCCACTGTGCCCAGCATGAGGAGATACCTGGATATTGGCTCCCTTCCTGCAGTAACCAGCAGTTGTAAGCCATGATGTCTGGGCCAAGTCCCTCCTGGCTGCCGGCTGACTGCAGCCTAACTTGGCACACTGACACATTCCCAGGTCCTTGGACTGCTTGAGGGCAGTCGGTAGAACATGTTCTCTCACTGTCCTGCCTGGCTGTGTGCCCGCTGTGCCTCCAGTCACTGGCAGCTCAGGCCATCCAGCCTGGGGCTTCTAAATAAAAGTGAGGTGTGCCCAGAGGCCCCAGACCACACTCACAGTTGCTGCAGGTGCCGCCTGATCTGCTCGTGTCTCTATCAAACCACTAAGAATTTGTTCTTTCAACGTGCTTATTTTCTGAAGACACTTTAGAACCACGTTTGTTCTTTTAAAAAAGAACAAATTGGAGCAAACAAATACGTGAGTGGTTGCATCATGGCTATGTTAACACTTTTCTCTGACCTTCGTAGAACAAGTTGTGTGCATTGTTTGTAGGTGGATATATTGTTTTTCTTTCTTTTCCAATGAAATACTAGCTGAGTGTATTTTTTTGTTCGTTTCTTGCAGTATATTTGATTGCAGTTTTGTGTAAACTTTTAATATCCTTTTATCAGATATTTATTTGAGAATAAATCATGTTGCTTTGCATAAAATACTCACGTGGGAAAAGGAAAACGAAACTCCATGTGGTTAGAATCAGCATCTGTCTCCCTTCTCTGTTCCTCAGCTGCTGCTCACAGCCTCTCGGTGCTGTCAGTGAAGCCATGGCCTCGGTGCCCTCCGTCGGTTGTCTTCTGGCCAAAAATCAGTATTATCAAAGTAAGTTGTGTCATCACTGGAGGATACCCCTAGACAATATGATCTGAGGTGATGTTTGCAGGAGATTGTTGACCTGTGTATCATTTTACGTTCAGAACTTAAGGGAGAAAACCGACAGCTGTTGCGGTGATAGTGCAGAAAACGGGAGTAGACTTCAGAGACCTCTCTCAACCAAGGCTCATCCCTCAGCTTTAGCTATGTGATATCGATGAAGGTGTTAACATAAATATGTGAGAATAAGATTATGTGTCATGATTATATTTTAATTTATCATACTTTGCTTTTCATAGGATGCATTAAAAAAGATCATTTTATGTAAATAAAATAGTCTTCAATTCCTTAGAAAGTAGGTAATTGCATGACTCTACTTCAAGAATTTTCTAATTTTCATTTTCTGCTATGGATAATAGGTCAGCATTTATCTGGCCAGTTTTATTTTTATTAATCTAACCATCCGTGCATATTCATAGCTGAATAGAAAATTGTAGCTTCTTAAAAAAGATTGAGAAATTTTATAAAATGAAATGAGCATTTCAGAACCAAATTAACATTTGTTGAAAGTATCGATGCCAAGAAAATGTAGAAAGCTCTTATTTCAAGGGTTGTTTGTAGCATAAGAGTTAGAAACACCTATTGACTTATTCTTTTACAAAAAGGTTAAACTATGCCCATTTACCTGGTGTTATTTTATAAATGGACGTTATTTTTATGTTCTGATCTTTAAAAAGACTTATAGGTTTAAAATACAAATCTAATAGAACAAAATACATATTCTTTTAAAATAATTCCTTAATTTCTAAATTTGATAACTTTTGTAAGATTGTAAATATATATATATAGTATTTTCTAGGGTAGTACAATAGAATTCATTCTTGATTTTGTACTTCCTAAGTTTTTATATTTAACATTGGAATATATTTTAAATTGTACATTTATATCTGTAGAGTGAGAGAGAGAGAGGGTTGTCTGCTATGGAAATGAGTATATCTTATTAGTAGAAAATGTAGTATTCTTTATTATGGAAGCTTTTTCATTGATTGATAATTTGATCAGTTTTTTGCTTCATGAATTTATAAGTCCAAATTAAATTATTTCAGGCCAGGCTACTTGAGAGTCCCTGCATGAGTGACACGTGTGTGCTTGTCTGTGAGCCAGATATTTATCTGTTTATCATCACTTACTTCCTACAGAGTCCAGTATTTCTTCAGTTAGTTCTTTAACTGGTTCTTATTCTGTTAACCTCCTAGATGATGGCAAATCCCAACAAGGTACTTAATTTATTTCTACTCGGTGTCACCCTCATTATTTCCCTTTGTTTTTCATCTCTCAAATTTGTTTGATAAGGAAGTGCTATAAATTTTATTTGATAGGGTTACCAGAAGCAGCAGAATCCAGCTGGTGGTTTATATCCTTTTTCTATTTTGAACCTGTACTTTCAAATGAGAGAATAAAAGATGCATCTGCTAGTGGGTGAGTTTTAGCCTTTTCTCATAAGGACATTTCTTCCATGGTGAATGAAACAACGCGTGTAGTAATCGTTGTGTAGCTGGTCAGGGCACCATAGGCCTGTGTCTTGAAGGCAGTGAGGCTTTGACATAAAGGGAGGGGATGACACGGGGGGGAGGGTTCCCTCAGTTTAGTCAACCATCGCTCCTTCTAATTCAGTCACAGAAGAATGATCATTGGAAAGTCATGTGCCAGTTCTTGTCATTGCTTGGGGGGGAATGGATTTGGAATCAGAGGCAAGGTTCTAAATTTGCTTTTCCAATACCTCAGGAAAAGAGTAACCATTGCCTAGCTGCTATCCTGGATCACCCGACTGCTGGTTTTGACTAGCTACTGTATTACGCCAGTTACTAGAAGGAAGATTGAATTGGTGGGTTTGTAGATAGTGATTTCCATTCAGTTTGAATTTTAACACACCAAATAACACAGTTGTTATTCTAATTTTTAAAAAGTACTTGATTTATTTTTTAGACACTTTAATGACTAGTTGAATAAATAATAATGAAGTCCATGGATTCTGATGTTAAAGCATAATGGTTTTGATTAATTTTCTGCATAAGTTTGAAATAGGATCAATGTTTAAAATAATTTTTAAAATCAATGTAAGGCTAATTGTTGAAAAAAGGTTTTCTTTACTCTATCAAGTTTATTGATTTGAATTATCTAGGAAGTGTTTTCTTTATTTCTCCACCTTACTTTGACTATAAAAACAACCTAAATTACCGATAAGCACATTACAGCTAATCATCTTTGTGCTGCTATTCGATGAACATCTTGGTAATAGCTGACTATTTTATACAGCACTGATAGTTGAATCTGACAGTCAAGACACTCTACCTGCTGCGGTGCTACACAGGTGGACCCTGCCCTTGAGCGCTCCAGCTATTCTGAGGACTCCTCTCCATTGTAAGAGGACAAAAACCTGCTTGAGACCTCATCTATGAGACAAGCACACATCGGCCTCCGATAGAGAAACATTTGGGCATTATTCTCAATGCTAAGATTATCGCTGGGAGTGGCATCAGCTACATGAAGGATATTTGAAAAGCATGCCTTTAGAAACATGTGACCTTTTAAAGCACTGAGAGTCTTTAAATGTACAGATTTATATGAAGTAGCCCTCTCATTATCTGTATTATTTTCATTAAAAAAATTTGTTAGACTCTTTTTATGTCTGCTGAATGATTTATTATGGTTTAAAGGGCTCTGGATTCAGAAATATAGAAAAGAGTTGCAAAAATTGCATTTTTAATCAGGAAAGTTGGAAATAGCAAACACATTCGTAAAAATTTTAAATTAAATTAAACCTAAATTAATTAAATTAACATTAAATTAAATTAAATACCTGTTAAATACA